CAGGGTCTTCCTTTCTCCCCTTTTTGAAGAGAGAGGCAACATTAGCCCTATTTTAGTCATCTGACACCTCACCTGTCCTCCATGATTTCTCAAAGGCAATAGACAGTAGTTCGGAGGGTTCTTCTACCAGTTCCAGGATGCAGTTCATCAGGTCCTGGTGACTTGAACTTGTTCAAAGTAATTTTTCCCTTGCCCATTTGCTTATCGATCTCAAGCTGCAATCTTCCACCTCCAGCTTGTACTTCACCTTTGCCAGGGAAATCATAGATCCTCTTTTGGGAGAACCACAGAATTAGCACTTACGTCTTTTGTTATTTCTCATCACCCACCCTTTCTTTCCTCTGTCTTTTACTATGAACACATCAAAAGGGGTTTTTTTTTGGGTTGCTTTCAGAATCCCTTACTAACCTCAGCTCATTCTTATCTTTAGCCTTCCTGATGCTATCCATCCCTGCAATGCCATGCCACCTGCCCGTACTCTTCCTTTGCAGCCTGCTCTTCACCCACTTCCTATATGTGTCCTTTTCTGTTTCTTGGTCATCTCTAAGTCTTTGGTGCAGCCATATGTGCTTCTTTTGTCTTTGACTTTTTTCCTTGTTGGAATTGCTTGGAAATTGCTCCTTTATAATTTCCTTGTTAAAAACTCCCACCTATCTTGGATTGCAGTTCTCATTAGAATTACTTGCCATGGAAACTTATCATTCTGGGTCTATTAAAATTAACTTTCCTAAAATTCAGGGTACATGTTTGGCCACACTTGGTTTTTATTTTCATTAAAATCAAAAATTCAAGCATGCCATGGTCACTTTCCTGAAAGGTTCCCATTACTGTTGCTTAATCCACTAGGTCATCCTTATGGTTAGCACGAAGTCAAAGATAGTTGTTATTCTAGTTCTTTCCTATGCTTTCTGTAGGAGGAAGTTATCAGCAACAAGTCAGGGATTTCTTGGAGGGGCTGTGTTTGGCAGGATTCCTATCCTAGTGGATATTGGGGAAATTGAAGTCCCCTATTACTACTATAAGTGACTCCTGGAAACATTTACTATAAGTGACTCCTGAAAACAGGTTTTCAGAGGTTCTTTGTTCTTCTCCTTGAGTGGGTGTCAGTAAAACAAAAATGTCCAACAGGCAGCTGAATAGGTTGGAGCAAATGGGGCCACTTGAGGGTGACAAGGCTTGCTGGTGCTGGAGACTCATCTACTCAGTTCCATTTCAAATCTGACTTTAAAAAAAATCTTTCTGGCCCCCCCCCCCAAAAACATTTTAAAAGGGTTAGCTAGCTAGTTGGCAAAACTGAGAGCTCCTGAAAAGTGGGAGTAACTTACACTTTTCTACCCTTAATTTTATTGTTTTATTGTATATGTTGTTCCTTTTACATTTTGTAACCTGCCCGGAGAATTATCCTGGGTAACCTGTAGGATAGAAATTTAATAAATAAATACTCTCCTGAGCACCTGGAGTCTTTTTTTGGGGGGACTAAGAGCACTCTTAAAGGAGCCAGTTCTTTCCACCCCACCAAAGAAAAAGCCCTATAAGAGAGTAATCTCATCATGAAAGGTAATCTAATAGCCACATTATTTCACAAGCAAAGCGCTGTTAGAGCTTTGGTTTCTCCTGGCTGCTTGCCTTTTGACAGTGGTGAAGGAGACCAAAATAAAAAACAAGGCTTTGGGCAGCTCCTCTGGGTGAAGGCCTGTGAGGCTGCCTGCTATACTTAAAAGAAGATATCCCTGTGGACAGTGGGATGAGGTAAACCCTCACAACATGAGATATGCCTATATCCACACTGGCTGAGTTCACACATGATGTTAACAGTTATTGCATGGCATAGCATCTCACCTTCTGTCTTGTGTTCACACACTGAGATGGTAACTACTCATAAATGGTTTCCATGTACCTTTATCTTTCCTTCCAAATGGTGACACGCACCCCATCAGCCCCTGCATCTGGGAATCTATCCTAGGGTGCACAGCTCTGTCTGCCTGTCCCCCATTGGGCTGCATGTTCCCCCAGGAATGTTCTCAGCAAGCCACTACTCCCCCCCCGCCAGCTGCTATGCAGGGCCACTGTCTTATTAAGAGTAGCACAGTTGCTGTGCAGGGGCAACATGCCTGCTGCTGCCACACTCCATGCCCATGCATAAGCACCCACCTGCACCCACTGGTACACTTGCTGCAGATGTACCTGACACTCCCCCCTCCATGTGCTGGGGCCACTGCAGTCTGGGTAGCCCAGACTGGGTAGCCAGAGATAAAGGGAATGAGTTCTGTCTGCCAGAATTCCTGACTGCCCAATGTTGCCTGTTTGGGCACCTGCAAACTACAGGGGGGAGGAGGAGGCCGGGACTTCCCCGTGCAGTGTGAGTGCAGCATGCTTCCCAAGTGCCACTCCAGCGCAGGCTAGTGACCAGGCAGATGTGCCATGCACAGCTGGCCCTGAGGCGACAACTGCTGGGGGAGCTCCCTGTCTTCCCTGATGGCGCATCATCTCCAATACAAGCCTCACCTTGCTGTCATGCCCTTGCATGAGATTGGCATGGCAATGAGGTCTTGCAAGATGGGCCTTGTGAAATGGGCATGATGGTGAGGTGAGCTGCAGCGGTATGGTGGGAGCTGGGTGGCTGGCACTGGACAGAGTGTACCACTGGGGAAGTCAGGGAGATGGCCAGCCAGCTCTCTGCTGCAAGCAACTCAGCAATCACTGGGCAGGGCAGGGGAAAATGCAGCTGGAGCACCTGCTGCTGCCACAACTATTCTTACAGCCATCTTGCTGGAAGAAACGGGAACTGAGGAAAAACTTGGCTACTGAAGTCACACATAACAAAAAGCAATGATGAACCATGGAAACAGACCATTATTTTCCTGTAGGATTGATGGTGGCCAAACATGTCATGTTCAGCATTCTTCCCGGATTCGCACATAAGAACAAACAATTCACAGCATGGCTTGTTGTTATGTGTGCACTCAGCCTCAGACACATCTAGATACTTCTTCACTGTCACAGGAAGTTGTCATAGCTGCTGATCTAGATGGCTTTAAAAGGAGATAAGATAATATTGCGGGGAATCAGGCTATCAATGGCTAATAGTCATGATGGCTAAGTTTTGGTCTCTTTACCAGAGGCAATGTACTTGTACATCTTAGTTGCTGGGAAATATGATTTGGACAGTTACTGTATTAATATCATCTTGCAGGTTTCTCTTAGGCATCTAGACTGTTGCTGTGGGAAAAGAAGGCTGGACTAGACACCTTTTTATCTGATTCAGCATGGCTCTTATGTTCATGTGAAGGACTGTCTCACTGCTAGCAGCAGAGGGGGAAAGACAATGGCTAGGTGGCAAAGGACATACTTTTCAGAAGCTCCCAAATTTAATCCTTGGCATCTCCATGGAGGACTTCAAAAAGTTCCTTTCTGAAATTCTGGAAAGCTGCTATTAGTCACTGTTGACAATGGTATGCTAGACAGACCAGTAGCCTGACTCATAAAAGCAATTTCTGTGTTCTTACAACATGGGACCACAAACTCCTCATGCACTGGATGAACATGCATTAGAGTGGATCATGTGTAGCCACTTTTATTAGAACTGCAGTAAGTAATCTTACATCATCATTTCAGAAATATCAATTTCAGAAAGTATCTTGGGAAATGAACCGCGATTAACTATTGAGATCCTACTAAATTGGGAGTAGGCTGGTAGAATTATATTGTCATTTAGAAAAGTTAAAAAGGCCTTGATGTTGAGAAGTTAAAACCAGCTGGCACCTTTTAAGTCATGTTATCTGAGGGGGTATCTTTGTCCATATGTACCAGCCCATTCACTGTGGTCTTCATCCAAAGCCCTCCTCTGTGACCTTCCCCTAATAAAGTGGGGGAGAAAGAGGGCCTTTTCAAGCATAGCACCTAAATGCTGGAATTTGATTCCACTGGAAGTTGGGTTGGCACCCACTCTTCTGGTTTTAGACACCAACTTAAGACGTTCTTCTTCCATTATTTTAATATATAAATTGCTGATTTTGATGTTTTTATACTATTAAATGTCACTGCCTTCCTGATTTTACTATAAATTAATACTGATATTAAATTTTAATTGGTTGGTTTTATGTTTGGATCCCTTGAATAATATTCATTTTATTGTCTGCTTTATTATTCTTGTCTTATTTAATTTTGGCAGTTTGTCTATGGATTTTTATGGTTATTGGCCTAATTGAAATTGTAATTGTGGAGTTTATAGTGTTGCATCATGTATTATTATTTTGTATATAAGGATGTTATCATGATGTAAGTCACCCAGAGAGCCTACGGTTAGTGGGGTGGCACAGAAATCGAATGAATCGTTTACATACACAGCTACCAACTACGAGATAAAGCCCAGTCAGTGGCATGCTAATTTAGGCCAGACTTTGCCAAAGCTGTTCGCCTTGCTGACCCTTCTCATTCATTGTCTTCCTCCTGCTCTTATACTAGTATTTGAATAGTATGGATATCTTCGTCTTTATCTATCCTTTCTCTTAGTGACCTTTAAAAACTCTCCCCATTTCTTATTCTTTGCAAGTCTCGCTATTCCCTTTCACCGCCAAACAAAATACATCCCCACTCTTCTCAGAAAGCTCCAACTCTCTCCCTGCCTTTCTTCTTTATACACACCCTAACCTGCTTTTCCTTCCTTCGCGGCCACTCTTCAGAGAGCAGGCTCATTGGCAGTTCTTAGGTGCTCCTCTTTCCGGATTGGCTAAGCCGCACCACCACTCTCTTCGCCCGTTTCCAGACTTGTTGTCTGGCTCTCAGGCTGAAAGTCTGAAGGGGAAACCGGCGCAGCTGCGCGGTAGGGCCGACGGAGAAAGAGTGTGCGTGTGCGCGCGCCATTCAGTGCCGCTTCGCTGTCTGGGTGGCGCTGCAGTCTCCTTCCCCCGTGGTGTGGGCGGCGGTGGCAGCAGTAGTAGTAGTAATAGTGGAGTTCCCGCCGCCCTTGTGCAGCGTGAGCGCCCTCCCTCGCTTTTGCCTGCCTGTCGCCGCCCTTAATCTCCGGGGAGCGCGGAGCAGACACTTCTGCGAGTCACTGGCCGGCGCCCAGAGAAGCGAGCAGCTAAGCGAGAGGGGCGGGAAACCGGAGAGGAAGGAAGGGGGAAGTGTGGAGAGGAGGAGCCGTGTGTGTGTGTGTGTGTGTGTGTGCGCGAAAGGCAAGCCGAGAGGAGGAAGGCGAAAGGGAGCGAGGGAAGAAAGGAAGGGCGAACCAAGAGAAACGCTCGAGGAAGCCTGCGGCGTGGCAAGTCGAAAAAGGGGGCTTGTTGCGCTCCCCGTCTCGGCCTCTCTTTACACCTCATGCCCCTGGCGGCGGCGGCGGTGCGAGGCTGCGGCAGGCGCTACTACGGCATTTACGGCCCAGCCTATTGAGGGGGCGCAGAGAAAGGAGAAGCCGAACAGGAGGCGGAAGGGAGTGGAGTCGGCGACGGAGGCGGAATCGGCGCTTCGGCCCCTTCGCCGCGGAGAAGGGAAGCTGGGCTAGGCTCCGGCGCAGGCTTTGCGGCCCCGCTGTTGCAGGTCGCCTCTCTCCGCCGTCCCGCACGCAACACCCCGGCGAGGGGCAGGAAGTGACTCTTCAGCCGGGACTGGGCGGTGTTACAGGCACCTGAAACCGCATATTTGTCACGGCGGAAGGTGGGGGGCGGGAAGGAGCCCGAAGCACACCGAGAGTTTTCCTTGCTCAAGTGGGAGCAAAAGTGAACGGGAAGGGAAAGGATCCCCCCAGCAACAGCCCGGCTTCGCCGGCCTCTTGTGCCCGGGCCGCAAGCTGGGCACTGCCGCTATCTTCCCTGCTGAAATCTGTTGCACCCTTCCCCGCCCCCAACGCGCTTTCCTGGCTCGAAAACTTAATTTGGATTTAAAACACTGCTGGATAATGAAATAACCTGGTGCAGATGGAGGATATCTGGAAGCCTGAAGTGTGAGGTTGGTTAAAACAGTGATTAAAGTGTGTGTGTGTGTGTGTTTGGGAGGGGGGGTATATTTGGAGCTGGTGCGTGGAATGTTTTATTTATTTGTTTGTTTATAGGGCAGGTTTGAAAAAGGGAAACAGTATGTAATTCAAGTTTGAGATATGCCTTCATCTTTTTCACTTTTAATTGCGTTTCCGATGTCTTTCTGAATTGTGAACCCGGCTTCCCTTTTCACATTTTGTCTGTGTTTTTGTCTAATCGTTATTTTGCACAGTTTTGTCGCAGAGGAGAAATCTAGGAGAGTCGATTTGGGGGTGGGGGTTAAAGCTTCTCAGACAGGAGTTTCTTTGTTCCACAGCAGAAGGTATTGAAGTGAAACTGCTTGATTATGCATTCGTGATCTTAAAACATGTCGTCTAGTAGAAACAGTTGCTGAACCGGTACTTTCTCATTTGCAAGCTCTCCTGTTGCATAAACAACGATTCTTTCTCTCTTGTACATTTTGTTAGAAGACCTGCAGATATTGATGTCTAGAGATCGAAGTCTTTCTTCATTAGGAAGCTATGGAATAAGCACATCGTTTAGAAAGGCCTTGTGAAGTAGATGTGGAAATTCATAAGTGCTTTCTCTTGCAAAACCTGTACAGCAGAGGTATTTCTGTGTATGTCTGTAAAACATCTTCAGCACTTCTAGGTAATTGTTGCTCTTAAGGCTGACTTAATTTGAAAAGGTCTTCCTGAAAATGTAGCTGGTCTCAACTTTTTTGTAATGTTAATTGAAGGAGAGGAAATGGTTTGTACCATATACTTTTGACTTCACATTTTGGTCTCGGCGTAAGTGGGAAACATGAGGATAATTACAATGGGATTTCATAATACTTAAAAATGATCAGAATGTATTGTGAGGGAAATTAAATGCAGCATGTTTGTTTGTTTAGCCAATGCTGACGGCTTCACAGTTATCAACAGTTGCACAACTTTGTACAAATCAGTATCAAACCCAGTAACTGTAACTGAAGCCTTACCTGTCCAGAATAGAGGGTTTTAATGAACATCTGTGCTTTTGTTAACTGATATGTAGTGAGGAAGGTAAGGTAAATTTCTGCTGGCATCATTTAGTTTTAACAGTGAAAAATATGTAAACTTCCATAATCCATACATAGGATTCTTAAAGACGTCAGAAAAGGTTACTCTTGGCGGCTTGAAAGGATCGGACAAACTAGATGGCAGTGAACTTCAACTTCCTTTTATGGCTTATGTTTGGCAGAAAAGCAGTGAAGTCTAAATAGAGTAATCCTTTCACAGAGAATGATCACTTCTAAAGCAGTGTTTCATTGCTAGAAATGACTTTAGATTCTAAAGAGGATAAAATGTATCATTGCATGACAAATGTAGCTATAAGCCTTTGTATCTATGCTTGTTTTGAAGTTTCTTGTTGGCCTTCATTGTTGGTTTCTTCTGAATTTCTTGAATTGGTATGGCCAAATTTTTTAAGGCTTTTTAAAAAAAGTTAGTATAACAAGTTACTTTTTGGTTAGGTTCTATGTCATAAAATTGCATTAATATAGATTTAAATGATATTTTTGCTATTATTGTCTAACATGTATTTGTATTTTCCCCTTTAGCTGATTGGTTCTAAGCCTGTATAGTGGTACATGTGTACCACTTTTTATCCACAGCATGTGGAAACTTTTCCTAACTTTTTTCAACTGGCAGGATTAGATCAGCCTTTAGTATATCTATATAAAACTTTGCTTGCTTGTGTTCTCATGTGTTTAATCAGAAAGCTGATATGGTATACTACAAAATATGAATTACATTTCAAAGTGTTAGGAAGTTATTCGAGAAAGTAACTGAGCCTGTGGATCTTCAGTGAAACATATATATAGTGTAAATATCTGTAACTATGCCATCTGTTGTATGTTTCTGTTCTCTTGCAGAAAAAATGGCTTTTTAAAATCTTAGTTTGCATACTTTTGTACAGTTGTTCTATTTTCATAATGAGAATAATTAGTTACTATTGATTGTTTCTTAACAGATATGCAGATAAATGCCTGCCTGTATTTTCAGTGAGTCATTAGAAGGCTGAACTTTGACCCAAAGTTGATGTTGTAGTGCCAATAACATACAGGTGAATAGGCAGTGAACAGAGCAGTCCTATAGACATCTGCTCATTACTTACTTCCAAGTAAGGAGGCATGTGATTACAGTTTAAAGCAGATTTAGTCAAAACTGTAAACAAGTGACTGAAATGTTTTCCTACTTTGGGAAAAGTGAATAAATGGATCCTTTGCATATATTTCCAAGTTCTGTCTGGTTAACACTGGTTCTTAATACTGGTCTCAAGGTTGCAAGCTTAAGCCTGGTCAGATCTGCACTTATCCAGTCCTCTTTCCTGAGATCCAAGTGCCACCTGTCTTGACGGGCAAATAGATATGCACACCTGGATGTGTATAGGGCTGGATCAGGATCAGGATGTTACCTTAGCATACCAAAAGTGTTATCCAGCACCTGAGCATATCCTTTTAATCAAGGCTTGTCTGCATGAAACAGACCAAAGCAAATTTTCATATTAGTATTAGTTGCAGAGTCAAGAGTTTATGCAAACATTTTTACACATGATAAATATATTTATGGTAACCTACAGTATCTGATTTTCCCTCTTAGATGCAAATCTTAATGTGGTAAAGGGGGTTGAGAGTGTCAGAGATTCTCGGAGCAATGCTGCCAGGAGATCAAACTGTCTCACTGGGCTGATCTCTTAGCAGGGTCACCTAAGTTGAAACTGCAGTCTTAAGATGCATCCACCCTCTTCAGGAGGAATGGCCGCATCAGTACAAGAGAACAGACATCCATAATGGTGATGGAGGCTGAAAAAGTCCTGAAGGGCAGCTACTGGGCAGCCATGGTAGTTGAAGGTGACAGTGGTAGAGGATCTTTCACAAACAGTGGCAGTGATGCTCAAGCTGACTCTGGTTATTACTGTGCAGAAAAAGGCTATGGGTATCTGAATCTTCTTAGCTTGAAAATCCCATAAGGAAACAATTAAAAAATGAAACAAGAGATAGTGCCAGCAGATGAGATCCGCAGGTTGGAAGGCACTAAGTGAGCTACTGAGCAAGAGCAGAGGCCAAGTGCGAATAGTGCTGTTGCTAATGGTGCTACTAGATCAAAGCTGAAATATCCTTGTTCAAGGATAGGGTGGACGTCCACATGGTGGGCATGTCGTGAGCAGAGCCGGCTGGTGCCGGAGGTTAGAGTAGATGGCTCGGGAGGCCCCTTCTGGCTCGCTCTGTTTCTATGTTTCTATGAAATCTAGTGGCTGACATGCAGGTAGTCAAAAGGAAAGTCTGATGCTGCACAACATGTATATGATTCGAACATGGAACATGGGGAGCATGAATCAAGGCAAACTGGAAACCATAAAACAGGAAATGGAACAGCTGAACATTGCAGTACTTGGTGTGCATGAACTAAAGGGCACTGGAATGGGACATTTTCAATCAGACAAATGCAAATTGCTTAAATCTGGAATGAAAAACTTAGAAGGAATGGAGTGGCTCTAATCCTAACACGAAATATAGCACAGGAGATAAGAGCTATAATGCAAAATCCAAACGAATAATATTAATCAGAAGTTGTGGAAAAACTAGCACCATAACTGTCATTCAGCTCTATGACCAATAACAGATGCTGACAAAGAAGAAATTGAAAACATTTATGCAGGTGTTCAAGAGGAAATTTAGAACACACCAAAGCAAGACATGCTGATAATCCAAGGTGACTGGAATGCAAAAGGAGGAAACAAAGCAGAATCAAATATTGTAGCAAAATTTGGCCCAGGTATAAGAAATGAAGCAGGAGAATGACTCATAGAATTTTGTAGTGCCAGCGGTTGCTTATCACAGATAAACAAGCCAGTGATGAGACAACTATTTACATGGACATCACCAGATGGCAAGTACAGAAATTAAAAAGACCAAGAAATTGAAATCTTAAGATGGAGAAACTGTATTCTTGCTGCCAAAACAAGGCCAGGAGCAGATTGCAGTAGTGACCATGAACTCTTAATCTCAAAAATCAAAGGGAAGCTGAAAAAGATCAGCAACAGGAATATAGTGCCAAAATATATAACTTCTAGAACATCCCTGAGGAATTTAAAGTCCTCATAGAGAATAGATTTCTATTACTCAGTTGACCATGAGCAAAAGAACTGTGGATTGAAACCAGAGGCATTATTAGGGAAGAAAGCCAGAAGACAATTCTTGTAGCAAAAAGAAAAAGCCTAGATGAATAACAGAAGAAACACAGTTATTAAGGACAGATGAGAAGCAAAAGCAAAAGGTGACAGAAGTAGTGTCAGAATCCTGAATGCAACTTTTCAGTGCCTATCATGTTCAGACAGAAACAACTCCTTACAATGACAAAGAGTGCAAAGAGAAGAGAGGAACAAAAGATGACAAACTTCTGTTCCAGAAGAATCAAGAAATCAAAGGGAAATTCAAGCCTTGATTAGGAATGCTAAAGTACGAACGGTCTAGGAGAAAATAAAGAGAAGGTGGAAAGAACATACAGAAGAAATTCATAGCAGAGATGAAAGGATGACACACTCCTTTGAAGAGGTATCCTGTGAAAAAGAGCCTGCAATATTAGGAAGCAAAATGATATCTGTTCTGAAAGCACTGGCAAGGAAGAAAGCACTTGGAGTAGATAGGATACCAATAGAAGTTTTCCAAGCTGCTGAGAATGTATCAATCAGTCTGAACAACGATGTACTGAAATATATGGAAAACAAAACAATGGTCCACAGACTGGAGTTGTTCAATATGCATTCCAATCCTCAAGAAAGGAGATCCAAAAGATTGCAATAAACATAGGACCATTGCACTAATTTCCCATGCAAGCAAAGTGATGCTTAAAGTATTGCAACAAAGAAAATTACCCTATATTATGGAGAAATTCCTGATGTTCAAACTTGCTTCTGAAAAGAAAGAGGCACTTGAGAACATATTGC